AGACTATCCATCAAACATTTATAACGTTGAAGAAAAAAGTTCAATTATTGGAGATTTGGGGATTCAAATTTCTTCTTAAATAGATCAAAGGTCTAAAGTGAAGATCTCATTACTAAAATACGGAGTACTTTGTTTACATCTTTCAATTCCTTTTTTTTAAATGGTCTGAAATAACATTCATGTATCCATCCGTTCCAAACTAAATTCCAAACTTTCCTTTTTCTTTGTCCCAATGTAAATTATTTTTTTATGGCAAAGAAAATGTGATTCATCACAACATTTTTATTTCCTCTGAACAACTTTAAGTCACACACTTTTCACTTTTTTAGTTCAAGTGCGAAGTCATATATAGTATGAATTCATTATGGAACCAAAGAGGTAACATTTTCACTTTTTCCATTCTATGAAAACCCTCGTCCCTTGCATCGCACGGGTGAGAAAACTAGTGTGGACAAAGGGAAGTGGTGCGGTTTTTAAAAAAGGTAAATTTATGTGATTGATAAAGTGTTAATAAAGTAAGAATGAATATAGTGAGACGAAGGAGTATATTTTAACAACTTTTATTCGTTCATTAAAAGTTATTAAATTATTATTCCTACGTATGTTACGTTTTAAGAATTAAGATAAATCAAGAAGATATAGTACTCCGTATATACTTCAATTTCTATTTTTCATTCTTCAGCAATTTCTATTTAAGTATAAGAACAATTTTTGTACGTACGTATATTTTCTCATGAATGCAGAAAAGAACATTAATAAAAGTAAATTTTTAAATTGCATCCGTATAATGTCAGGAATAACACCAAAGAATTGAGAGCATGCAATTATCCTAGCAAAAACACTAGGCATATTAGTAATTAGCTAGCCAAACAAGAATCTAGGAATGATTAAAAACTAAAACCCGATATAATTAAGATCGACTAGATTGTCATTAATGAATTATGGACTTGCGGATTATTGCTTTGTATTGGGCTAACATCTGGAGTTCTAGTGGTGAATTGGATCTGGGCCCGCTGGCGCATCCCTTAGCACCCTCTCAACTTTCTTGGGAAAACTACACAAGTAAGCTTAAAAGTGAAAGTAATATCACTTTTTTCACTTTTGAAAGAGTATTTCAAAAACAGGCTAGCAGCGCTATTTATTTCACAAATGACTCTAATATGTACACTCTGGATAAGCCGTAAGCGTGAGTCAATAGTGCCGATCAAATGTACGTCTCTAGCTAGGAACTCCGAACAAGTAGTGGCATTCTTTATGGATATTTTAATACAAAATTTGAAAAAAAAAATCAACTGTTTTTAATTGTCAAATAAAATACTCCGTATGCAAAAAGTAAGAAGAGGAGGTAAGAAATGGTATTAACTATATATGTAATACAAAAGATAAATTAAATTAAACAAAAAACTTGTGACTTATATTTATAAATAAAAAAATAAAAACTTTTATACGAAAAGTCAAGCAGAAAATTGTAAAAGACATGTAGAAAATTTAAAAATACAAAAATCAAAAATAAAAATGTCAAATTTAAAATAACTTCAAGTGCTGGAAAAATTGTAAAAAAAGATGCCATTCTGTAATGATTTTTCTAGAATAATTAATATAATTTATATCCAAGTATAAGCAATTTTTGAAAAACAAAACATGATAAAAAAATTAAAACAATAAAAATCTAAAACCCTAAATACGGAGTATGTAACAATATAAATGTTTTGAAGCTATTAAAAATGAAAATAAATTATGTTTTTATTATTAAGCATAAATTTATTACAAAGTAAAGATCCAAAAATACAAATAAATATACAAATCTGAAAATAATCATATTAAAATTTGTAAAATAAAATATAAATATAAATAAAATTATTATATTTAAAATATCAGTAAATTAAATTAGATTTAAAAAGCATATAAAATATAAAAACTAGAAAATAAATGTGAAAAATGTTTAAAAAAACTAAAAAATTGAAATTTGAAAAATATGAATTTTGTAATCCAATATTTTTTAGATAGTCATAAAATTCAATTAGTATTATTAGCAGTAGTATAGCTTTATTTTTCACTCTTGTTTCATATTATTTTTTTTTTGTTTCTTTTTGTTGATAACTTTGAATTTTTTGTGTTTTATTGTTTCTTCTTGTCGACATTCATATATCCAAATTTCGCACGTTAACCAATTGTACATAAATCTATATATAATTACGTTATCCCAAAGAAGTAGTTACAACAACAATCAAATTCATTTATAAATAACAATAAGCAACATGATGCAACACACAAGAACAAAAATCAACAAATTGCAACAAAATGTAACAAGCTGCAACAAAATGCAACAAGCTGCAACAAAATACAACACATATAATACAACAAAAAGAAACAAAAATAACATATAAACTTTCACAATGAATATATAATTCTACTTATTACATCCAACCATTATATTGTTTAGCTCTGCTTCTTATCACATCTTCCTCTTTCTATGCATCTTAACACATAGTTGTTGAGACTTGGTTCTATTTCCATCATTGATCTTCTCAATCTTATTATCACCTTCATGTGCTTATTTCTCTTTTATACGTCTGCAATGAGAATATAATTAATTGACACATATGGCAACAAACTAAGCACTTGTGGCACACTAATCATTTGTAATACATCATTATGACAGTAGGAAATATATGTTTAGGAAACATACAGTAGGAAATATACAAAGTAAGCAATTGAAACAAAGTAAGAACACAATCACCACGACCCGCGAAAAGTGCTTATTAGTTTCCTTTTTTCACTGAAGAAGTTTTTGCCATTTTAAATGGCACAGAGGGGGTATAACTTCCATAGTGTTAAGATCAGCAAGTCAATAGACATTATTACCGGAAAGAATTGAAAGCAATCCAATGATAGGTGATAATAGCAATTTTCAGATGTAGCCATGTGATCTTACACAAAGGTAACCTCCACCTTTTCAAAGAAATTCAATTATAAGGATTTCCCCTGTTCTGTTGGCCAAGAGCAAAACCATCAACTTAAAAAAGAACGAAATACAAAAAAGAGATGTCACAACACAATCTCACACTTTTCAGTAACAATTAGACCCAAAGTTTACAACCGAAAATGAAGCAATTACTAACACAATCTGAAGTCTATAATATCTATAATATATACATATATTGTATAATGACAAGGTCTAACCCTGCCCAAAATTTCCCTTTACCTTTAACAATACCTGTCCAGGATTTGCAACTGAAAATGATGCTGCTACGAAGCAATATTTAATCCATAATGCTCATAATCATACTCCTCATCAATTGCTACACAGGGAACAGTATGACCTGAGCTATGTGCTTGTGCTTCCACCCAATCAAAAACAACTTTTTAAAAAAAAATCATCAAAAAGAGCTTTTAATTGTTTTAAAATAAATTTAACATGTGCAAGTCCCAGGGGATCAGGTAATAGCTTTCAATAGGTGTTTTCAAAGTCAAGCCAAGGAAAGTGCAAGCACACCATTAGTTCACGTTCTGTTTATATCAAAATCAAATTAATGGTAGTAATTATAAGTAACAACACTAATATAGACAATCATGTGCTCTGCCCTTATGACCACCTCACTCTTCATTCAAATATTTAGTTCATCCATGTCCTTTTATTGGGATATTATACCTGTTATAAAATTTGAACATAAGTAAGAACTTAATAATTTACCCTTTTGAATTCCTTTCAAAAATGCCATTACAATTGAGAAGATTGAATAACGTTATATTAGGATTCAAACAGTTTTCCATTTATGAATAGCCCGACATTGTAAAAGAACAAATATGCGTACTTAGAGGTGCTATCCAGTAACATTTAGATATCATCATAAAAAGTAGAATGAAAATGATTTGATCAGTAAGGTGGTGTTAAAACCTACTCCAAATTTCCTCCAAATTTCAATTTAATCTTCAAAGGTAGAGCTAAAGAGCAGTCAAAGTGAGTGTCTTAGCAAATCAATATGTGCTTGAAACTTAGTAAACTTATAGTGAGACTTGATTTGAAATCAAAGAAGCTATGCATAACTTATCAAAGGACGGCCATGGTAAAAATTACTAATGAAAGAGAATCCAAACCATTTGAACAATTTTGGACTTCATTAGTAGATACAGGTTACAGGTTGCTTGTTGCTGGAGAGAGGGGTGACAGGTGACCAATCAACTCAACGGATGATGAACACGAAGGCGGAAGGCGGTTATTGAGTAACGAATAAGAGATGGCCGGATATGATGCTTGATCCATCGACCTCAAAGCTAGAGCCATCACAGGCGTCCCCATCGGTTCATTCTCTGCAACAGCATCCTCATGACATACTCCAGAAGTCTAGACCTTATGACCGCCCCGCCTTCTCCGCCTCCTGCAACGACCGAATTAAACTCATCGACGATGGAATCAATAGCCCCTAATCTACCGATTATAGCTGCCGAAGCAACGATTACAACTGCCAGAGCCAGTAATTCATTGAGTCTCTGTGCGTGAATGAGGGCGAGGCTGGAGATTTCGTCTCCAAGTTGTACCTCCTCGATTGCTTCTGTGGCGGAGAGGAGGAAAAAGACTGTTCGATGGTGGAAGTTTGGAGGCCGATGAGGTGCTTTAGGCTTTAGTTTGAAGTACTCCGTAATGGGCTATTTTTGAAATAAAAAGGTAAAAGTGAAAAGGCAAAAGTTAATTATGAAAAGAATAATGTTTTGGGTTATAAATGAAATAGGGATGACTAAAGTAGACCAACCGGGTAATTACCACTTTTTCCCTCCTCTAGTCATCGAAAGGCCCACTTTTCCTTCATTCTCCTTCAACACCTGAAAAGTAAATAACATGATCACAATATAGACACATATATTTTATACTCGGTTTCTCAGAACTTAATCATTTTTGACTAATGGTGACTAATGGTTTAGTTTTATACAAACTTATTTAAAATATGTGAATGATACAAATTTCATTTGTTCAAATTTGTTCACAAACGTATAAAATTTATAAGTTTCATACACCCATTAGGCCTGAAAAAAGGCTGGATTCTTTCCGTCGGAGCCCAACGCCTTCTCCGGGTGCATGCCAAAAATAGCCATTTTAACCTCTTCCGGACAAATAAGTTTTAACAACATATTATTTTGATTAGCTGTGACGTGAGCAAAATCCCCTCTGATCTCTTAGCCTGGAAAACAGAGGAGAAATAATCCATGGCAATCATTTCCAACTTTGCCCTATCTGTAATCCATGATCCATCTTCCATTTTGATACCAGTCATCCTACTCCTTCTTCTCTTTTGTTTCACAGCATTATGGAAAAAGCGATAATTAATATCACCTTCTTCGAGCCAAAATTCTTTTGCCCTCTCCTTCCAAAAAAGGTTCTCCATCTCCATGAGTATTTGAAGCATTGTTCGGACCTTTAGGAATTCGGCCACACTTGCTCTATCCTCTTTCCCACGCAGCCATGATAATCTTCTTTTGCAGGCCGGAATTTGATGTCTGGATCCCCGCTTTCTGCCTTTGTCCCAGCAAAGAAGCTTGTTTCCACAGAAGGAAATATGATCATTATTTGTCATGTGAGCTGCTGCTCCCCAACTGTTCATCACCACCAAGCGACACTCCTCTTCCGTTGTTGGTTTTGTTGCCCTAGCTTCTCCAGAGATGGATAAGGCAGATTGATAGAGGGATTGAGCACATGAAGTGGATCGTTCGATTCAGTCGCCTCCAAATCTCTCCACCGATACCTGTATTGATGACATGCGTCGGCGAAGAGGCAGCAGTCTCGCTGGCCGGTAGGAGAATGATGGAGAAGATGAACTTGAAACAGATAAACAGAGAAGAGAAGATAGAGCAAAGGTGCCGGCGATGTGTTAATTTGGATTTGGGGCTGCGTTGGTTTTAATTTGGATGTTAGGGGAAGATGACCATTCTTCAAATATAAAACTATTAGTGAAAAGAGGAAAGTTAAAGATGAAAAAGAAAACATGTTGTGTCATAAAAGAAATTCAACACATAAAATGGGTCTACACGGGTAATTTGCACTATTTATTTCTGAGCTTCTACCTTTATGTGGACTGTCCAATTTTATTAGATATTTAGATCCTTTAGAACACAGCCCATATTAAAATTGGTCCAGTGCGATTACAAAAAAAACGTAGTCTACCGACTCTGCCCTATCTATTTGTTTCTCGACCTCAGTCCCATCACACGCTCAGCAACGATTCAATCTAACCCTCTCTCTCTCTCTAAGAAATCAAGCAACCAGCCCTTCATTAGACATCGCCCCCCATCTGACTAGGGCTGTTAACGAACCGAGCTTTTATCGAACTATTCGAGTTCGAGCTCGGTTTCGAACCTAACGAGCCGAGCTTAACGAGTTTTCGAACCGAACCCGAGCTAAGTTTTAAGTTCGAAAAATTAATCGAGCCGAGCTCGAACATAGTAGTATTTGGCTCGGTTCGAACTCGAGCCTATCGAACACCCTGAAATTATAAATATAATTTATATATAATCCAAATTTAAATATAATTAGCATGATTTTATGAATTTAAATATGATTATTAACGAACCGAATACTTGTCGAATCATTCGAGCACGAGCCTATTAACGAGCATCACCTAAAATTTTAAATTCAACCATATTTATCGAGCTTATCGAGCGCTCGGTTCGAACATCGAACGCCCATCGAGCCGAACACGAGCCTCATTTGTAAAGCTCGCTGAGCTTCGAGCTCGAACCCGAACACCATTAATTCCTTATCGAGCCGAACTCGAGCTTTAGGTGTTCGGGGTCGGTTTGGCTCGTTAACAGCCCTACCCATCCATCTCTACCGATCAACACATACGAAGTATCATACACCACCGCTGTCACCTACTCGCCTCTCATGCCAGACACCAGGTAAGTGTGGGAATTCTTCTTCTAATCTCTGATTTGTGTTATTGTATAATTCAATTATGCCCATTTTATGATTTTAGTTGTGCTTATTTTTTAATATGTACAAACAGACACTTGAACTCATTGTAGCTTGAGATGTGATTATTTATTACTCTTGTAGCTTAAAAAGAATTTGTTTTAGACCGGTTGAATCTCATTTTATGAAGTTATTTCATTTCTTTATGAATTTTATATTTTTAAATTACATAAACAGAAAAAATTTATAATGAATAGGTCGAAGTATAAAGTCCACTCTTTTACCTATTTCTCCTTAAAAAGTAATAACACACGTAATATCTTTTACTTAATGAGACTGGGTTGTATTTGATTTTTTTTGCATAATGCTTGCTGCTGGTTTGTATAACTTCAGCCTTTATGATATTCTTAAATATTCATGTGTGGTTTAAACATTTAAGTTATAACACTTATAACAAAGGTGGCTGACAATGAGTTGAAAAGAGAAAGTTCAAGAAAAGAAGGCAAAATATCGTGAATTATGATAATTGCAAGTATGGTGTGTATTTTCTTATAAAACTTATTTTCTATAATTGGTCTTTGTGTATATATGGTCATATGGTACTAATATATAAATCATATATTTGTATTTTATAAATACTCAATGTCAAGTTTCAGAAAAGGTATATCTATTTAAATAATGATACCATGAATGCCTTTTTAGATATAAACATATCGATTCATTTTAATGAATTACGTATCTAAGGTATTACGGAGTATATGTATCTAAGTTATAACAATTAGAACAAAAGTGACTGAAAAAGTCTCATAAAAAAGTTCAAGTAAAAAGAGAGATATTCTGGAAATATGACAAAAGCTAAGTATGGTTTCTTTTTTATTTTTTTCACAACATATACATGCCATCAATCAGTCTTGTGCTTATAATTTATTTCTAATTTCTACCAAAACATTCATTTCCAAGTCAATACATATGCTGTTTTTCTCTTTAAGCATTGTTCAGAAGTGAAATTTTGGAGGAATAGTTTTGAAGCAATATATTCCAGATCCATAACAGCAAGTACACTTAAATATTCTCTTTAGGACAAACATTACACTTAAATATATACAACAAGTACTAAATAGGGAAATACACATTGTTTTTCTGGTCACACATAGGTAAACACTAATAGCAAACCTAAAAAATAGGAAAATACCAAACAGGGAAATGCCAAAGTTGTAGACCCTCCTCCATTCAGCTTTTCTCAACCTTCACTCTGTTTGCTTTGAAATTCTCTTTGCTATTCCTTTGAGTGTTTCTCCATCTATCTTCACACCTCTTTTCCCTCCTAAGGTAGTGTCTTCAATCGAACCCATAGTGTGCTTTAATCTGCTCCTAATCAAAACCTGCTTTGATCTCATTTCACATGTCACAATAGGACTCTGTGTCCTTCAATTTTATTATCAAATGTGAGTGAAATTATACTATGTAGTAGATAAAAGAATACCAGATAAGAACAAATTGAAATATTAATATTTACTAACTTGAGAAAGAAAACAGGGAATAGAACACACATCAGTATTTTGCAGAGATTGAAAATGCATTTGCCAAAGGCTATTTATAACATCACTGTGGGTCAGTTTTTTTTACAGTGGAAGGTTGTTGGAACTATATTACGTGCATGTGATGTCCACAAAACTGTAATGGTAACCGCCAGAAGTAATGGACATGAGAGTTTTCAGGAAATGCATGCGCGTGTTGCAACTTTTCTGGATGGGCCACATGGATTTTTTTTGAATAGTTGTCAATTGCTAACCAATCAGTCTGTGACATGTGTCCAATGTAAGTCCACGGTTGGGACAGGTTGTACCAGACGATTGAGTATTTATATATAGAAGATTTAAACATATAATAGTTGGGAAAACTATCAAATAAGCCCCCGTACTATACTGAAAAAGTCAATTAGGCCCTCGTACTTTAAAAACACTCAATTAAGTCCTCGAACTATTAAAAAAAAGTTCAATTAAGCCCTTTTGGCCAGTAAGTAACCGGTTTCCCAGTTAAATGTAACCTGTTTCCCGCCAGTCGCCGTTGCTGGGGTTCGAGCACATCGTCGCCGTCGTCGTTGTTTAACCGGGAAATCGGTACTTACCGACCAAAAGGACTCAATTGAACGTTTTTTAATAGTTCGAGGACTTAATTGAGTGTTTGTAAAGTACGAGGGCCTAATCGACTTTTTCGGCATAGTACGGGGGCTTATTTGATAGTTTTCCCTATAATAGTTCACTTTAATACTCAAAAATATTATCACACTAAACCAACCGAGCCCAATTACATTTTCCCAACTCTTATAAACACCCACCTAACCTAGCCCAACCATTTAATCCCTTCGAAAATTCCACCTCTCCTCAATCTCCCCGTCGCACTCTTGTCACGTAGCTGCCTCAAATTTCGCCGATCTATTTCCAGATCTATGTTTTCATAGCCTTTTCTCAGTTTAGTTTTGTGTTAGTTCTTGTAATTCTGGTGTGGAAGCTATTTACCGAGATTGAGCTCCACCGATCAAGACAAACGGTAATCCGAGAACATTACTATGCAAATCCGGTTATATAATCCTTTTGTATATTGGTGCTAACGCTTTCACAAATGTATACTAATTATTAACGCACTAATATCATAATTATCATCATCAATAATTTCATCACCAGCATTACTAAAAAAACACAATTTTTTTCGGGGAAAAAAATAAGTACTCTTTATATGTACCTATGAAATCTATAATAGGTGCTTAGTCGCTTTCACGTTATTTCTGGGGGATATTAAAAGTGTTACAAATTATTACATGAATATAAAGAAATAATTACATAAATATGACCAAAATAAAGATGATTTACAAAAGTATGATTATTGACTAGAGTAGTAATAAAATCATAGTAATTCATGTTCAAGTTTTGATCTTAAGTTACCACAACACCACATTGTAGTAATGAATAGTCATATTTATGTAAATATGTTTTATTTTAGTAATATTCTTGTAAAAAACCCGAATATAAAGTTAAAGATTCTAAATGCTCCTTAATTGTTTATTGCAATATACTCCGTACTTCATTTGAAATTTTCATCTCATCCTCTTTTGCTAATAAGGGGTGTTTGAGTCTGATTCTCAAAACTGATTCTGCTCTTTCAGGAGCAGAAACAGAAGTTGGAGTGTTTGGGTGCAATTCCAGAAGCACTTCTGGTGCTCTAATTTACTCTCAGAATCAGTTTTGTTAGAAGTTGGGGAGTACCCTGAAAACTGATTCTGCTTCTTCTTTAAAAAAGAAGCAGAAGCAGAATTAGTTCCAAACGCCCCTTAACACCCCTAAACAGTGAATTTTGTTAGCCTTTTCATGATGTAGAATCTATAGCCTGCTATATCTGATGGAAAAATATTGGTTGCTAAAATTAGGTGGTGGATTGCACTATGAGGGTAGTTTGAGGGGGTGATTTGGCACTATTCCCAAAAAAAAAAACTAAAGGGAGAGATAGGCTGAAACAAAAGATTACTTCTCACCTATCTATTGCAAGCTCTCGTAATCTCTTCTTCTGCGCACAGCCATGGCCAATCTCCTTTCCCTGACCATGCCAATCTCCTCCACTTCGAGTTCTGTAAAACAACTCTGCTCTTCATTCAAGGTATGAACTTTATCTCTTCTTTTACAAGTATATACATTTCGGCGTATTGTATAACAAATATCCACAGTGGAAAAGCAAAAAAGTATCATCTTAATTCGGAACATCTATTCACTTCCAGTAGGTCATTAAAGTTTTTTGACAACTAAATTAGAAAAGTTGTCAAAAGCTTAGTGGGATAGATGGATCTTATCAAGATAATTTGAGCATTTTCTATATAAAAAGTAGCTTTTGTACCAGGAAGCATCTATATGATAGAAATAATACTGTAAGATAATTCAAACTAAACCATTTTTGTACGTATGCAATTATGCATCGAACCATTTCTGCAATGGATTAAATTTTAGAGCCATGTAAGAATTCAAATGAAGGAAGA